GAACTTGAGGCCTTGTCCTGGCTTCTCACACTTATTAGAAACTGAGTGACTAATTTTGTTTTATCTTTTTGCCTTACATACAGTTACTTCTCATTTGATGAGATCTGCTCATGCAACCATGCATTTTACGATATATGGACTGGTTATTTTACTTACTTATGTACTAGTTACCAGTCCACCATACAGCTTCTTTCGTATGCACGCGATTCTAGGATAAACTGCCTAGATGCAGCATCTGCTCTACCTCTTCTACTGTCTTTCAGTGCTAGATTTTTAAAAAAATTCTCTCCCTGAGCATGTTCTTCCAGCCTCCGTATGTCTTTTGACCCTCAAGTCAAGCATACACACACACACACACACACACACACACACACACACACACAAAGGATAGAACAAGTACAAAATAATCATAATAATCATAATCATAATAATAAATCCTTCAGATAATATCAGACACAAACAGAAGATCATTAAGGAAATCTATACCTCCACAGTCCCAGGAGTTGTTGCTTGGAGAGAAAATAAATCAAGGTAGTTCAATGGATAAAATAATGTTATATAGCTGGAATAAGAGGGGAGAAAAACATCATTCTCTAGCCCAAGGGAATGTCATCAGAGGAGAAAGACAGAGTTAAAAGTACATTCCTCCTGGTTTCCCCCTCCAGGAGGCCATAAGTAAATGAGTTTAGCTAAAATTTAAGCAAAATGGAATGGTAAGGAAAAACTTACAGAAAAATGTGATACCATCATAGATCTTAAATTGAGGAAGATATTGTCAGAAGGAGATGATTTCAACTACTGGTTTTGCAATGAACTATGAGGAGGAAGGCTTGGAAGGAGACTGGACAGGCGGTTTTTCATTTAACCAGGTACTAGTGAAAAGGGCTTAGTAGAAGCTACAAGAAACAGAAAAAAAATATACTTTTGGAAAGCATTTCCCTCCTGAGATCAGTTCATTTATAAATTTTTACTTTCCAAATCAAATTAGGTGTCTTTGTTTGACAGCAAGCCCTCATTGGCCTTTGCTTCTTTCTCATGGACCACCAGCAATTCCTGCCTCCTTCCCACCACAAGAAACACCACATAATCCTTTTCTTATCATCTTGCTTCTCTCGCCAATTTCTTTATTTCATGTATTATTCAACGTATGCATTATTATGTATGTATTATTATTCAACTTTTTATATATTTATATATTATTCAGCTTTATTATTATTCAACTTATTTTCAACTCAATCTTTTTATGTATTATTCTTCTGGCTTGAGGGACAATACACTGTGAAAAGCATGACATTTGTTTTTCTCCAGAGAAAGGTCACTTAAAACCATCTCTCCTATATATTCATTCCTCAAACATTTTTTTTTATTTTTGTAGCCTAGACATGCATTAAAAATAGAAGCAGTATCATTTTTCAGTTTGGCATGAGGTCTACTAGACTGCAGACATTCAAAATAAAATTAAAATCAAAACAATACAAGTTTGATTCATGATTAAAATATAATAGCTAGAAACTCTACCCTTACTTCTCCCAGATAATTGAGATTTTATTTTTATTCTTTCTCTATTGCAGTGAGTTTTTTTTCCTGTGGCCGTGGTGGGTAGCGGGTCATTTTGTGTCCCCCAAACACTTAGCATATGCCTTGCACAAGCAGGGTACCAGTGTATCTTTATTGATTAATGGGTTCAAAGATAATTTCATCTAGTGGGAAGACAGTGCTGATTAAGCTCACTTTCCATATTATCATTCTTTATCTTTTTAAAAGAAGTAGTGTCAGTATAAACAGTGGACCTTCTCATTCTTACTTTTACTTTTATAAGTTCACTTGATTGTTTGAGGAGAAGACAATTTGTGGTCCCTTTTACAACTTGAAGAGTGAATTTTAATTTGTCTGCCCCGTTGGCCTCTGTAATTCCTTTGTGTGTTCTGAACATGAAGGTACCATTATTATTCAGTACATGCCTAAAGAGAACCTGAACAATAAATCGACTTGTAATAATTACCCAGGAAAGCCAAGTGTATTATTTTGAGTAAGAAAATGCAAAGGCTTCATTTCCCAAAAATTACGTAATCACCCATCTTCTTGAACTTCTGACAAACACCCTTGATTTATGTGCTCTTTACAGAAAATGACTCAGGTGAATTCAGGTACATTTAATGAAAATTTGGAAACAGTACAGTACTTGCAATAGCCTTGATTGAGCATCCCCAGATATGACAGAACTATAATAATATTCATTCTGTTGCCCAAGCTCTGGCATATTTCATTATTTTTCAGTAATGTATAGTAAAGGCTCTATTGCTTATATCTGGAGTCTTCTCTTTTTTTCAAAGATTATTTATTTGAGAGAAAGAGAGAGTGAGAGTGAGAGTGTGCAAGTGAGGGGAGAGGGTGAGAATCTCTAAGCAGACTCCCTGATGAGTGTGGAGCCCAGTGAGGGACTTGATCTTATGACCCTGAGATCATGACCTGAGCCCAAACCATGAGTAGGTTGCTTAACCAGCTGAGCCACTCAGGTGGCCCTAGATGTGGAGTCTTTAGAAACTTATTACACTGGTTAATTTTATTTGAGATCTATATTTAACCACAGGTAAAGCATGAGAGTGTCAATAGATTTCTTTTTCAAATAGTTAATTTCAAATTAAAACTTTGGAATAGAAACTTACTACATTATCTGCAAAGTGAGGGAGAAATAAAGGTTCTTTCCTCTCCTGAAGACCTATATATGTCTGTGATTAGCTTCTAGCAGGCCAAAACTTCTATTTGTAGTATTACCTTTTAAAATCATGTAGCTTTTAAGTGAAATTAAGTATTATTTTTGGCATTTTTAAGGGACCTTAGCCAAAAGGGACTTTGTTTTGTATGTTTTTAAATAGTCTCAACATTTTTCCTCTTTCTTTTTTGTAGCAGCATTAATTGCCATGGTTTCATTAGCAATTTCTTTTCTTCTTTTTTTTTCTTTTTGTGAAAGATATAAGGAAATGGCTCACCAACGCATCGAAGTTCTGATAGGTTAGTGAGAAAGCCAGTTAATCACAAATTATAGCTACAAATACACCTGTCATTTTTTGTACACTGTGATATCTACTGTTTTAACAGTTACAATTCCATTCTTTAAGTGCTAATGTACTGAAAACACATATTTAATTTCATTGGATGCTTTTACCAGTGCTTATGTGATTTTTCAAATGGCAAATCATAATGATCACCAGTTTCTTATATTAATAGCACCATAAATTTCTTTAAATAGCACTGTGAGGTTTTTTTCTCTTGTTAAAAAAGTTAAAAAATAAACCTTATGTATGTATATGCATGTATATATATTTAATATGCTAAAGTTTTAGGTTTTTTAAAATAAAAAGTTTTTTCTCTTAGAGCTACAAATTGCAACATTTTATAAGTGAAATTATGTGCTGTCTGCAGTTTGCTTCAAAGTAAGACAGGAGGGAGTGTAGGGATCCCTGGGTGGCGCAGCGGTTTGGCGCCTGACTTTGGCCCGGGGCGCGATCCTGGAGACCCGGGATCGAATCCCACGTCCGGCTCCCGGGGCATGGAGCCTGCTTCTCCCTCTGCCTGTGTCTCTGCCTTTCTCTCTCTCTGTGTGTGTGACTATCATAAATAAATATAAATTAAAAAAAAAAACAAAGTGAGACAGGAGGGAGTGTAGATGGCATAAAGGTGAAATAAGATTGGCTATGAATTAATAATTGTGGTAGTGCTATCTACCATAGCAATTTTCACACTGTTTTATAATTACCTTTTAACTTGTATGTATGCCCTCCCTCCCTGGTTTTTAAGTTTTGTAGAGGCTGAAACTTAATCTAATCTAGTTAACCATTGTGTCTCCAGCAACTGGTGCAGTGTCTGGCATAAATTAAGCCTTCAGTAAATATTTATGGAGGGAGTATATTAATAAATCTGTCATCTTAAGGGGTCCCTGTGATTGCTGTCTCCATTTGCCTAATCCATCCTCCATGTAGTTTTGGGAAGGATAGCTTTAAACTGTTAATGTGTGATCATATTTTGCTCATCAGTAGCACTTCCCCATCAAGGCAAGCATTCAGATATCTATACACAAAGTCCATAGTTCCTTATTGTGTGGGTCCTGCCAGCTATGCCATACATTACTTGTACTACTTGCTGATGTTATTGCCTCCCTTCCTCTGAACATTTCCTCTGTCTGGGAGTGTCATCCTCATCCACATTTTAAACACGGTGCCACTGAGGCATCTTCCTTAACCTGGGAAGGCTAAAGTGGTCACCGTCCTTGTGCAGTGAGGCTGGAGATGTAGCAGCAAACACAGCACCTTAGCTCTCAACACACTTCCTCCCTCTCAGCGGTTGACAGCCATTTTCTTCTTATCATTCTCCTCTTCACTGACAGTGAGTATCCCTACAGCAGTTACTTTGTATTTTTCATAACATCTTCACTTTACCTGGCAGATAGAGGAGGCCAATAAATATTTGCAGAATGAGCAAATTAAGGAATGTACTTTTTGTTAAACAAGTACTGAGTTTTCCACAGAAGATGTTAAATCAATGATAGACTTACCAGCATACCCAAAGGTTGTTTTTCACATTTGCACCAGGTTTTCTTCTGTTTTTTTTTTTCCACAGTGTAGTCAGCAGGTCAAAAGACAAACCCCGGAATCGTATAAATCTAAGAATGAAATGCTGAGGTAAAAAAGACCTTAATGTGAACCAAGGCGCCAAGGGAAACATGATACTTAGCTTTTCAAAAGTTCAAGGTTTATTTAGTAGGAGAAATAATTCCGATGATAATTTTAATAAAGCCTTGGGTTAACTTCAGTGGAGATTGTTTCTGACAGATATTTCAAATCTCCAACATTACTAGGCATTTGACCCTCCATACATATTTTGTAGAGAGCCGAAGTACAGAAATAATGAAATGTTAGAAAATGAGATCTCTTCTTATATTAACATGAACTTTATAGCTAAAGGAGGTCATAACGTTTGGGTTTTTCCATTTTCCTTTTCAGATATGTCTTCTCCGACTACTATGAAGAAGCCTGAAAAGCCACTGTTCAGCTCTACATCGCCACAAGATTCTTCCCCAAGATTGAGCACTTTCCCCCAGCACCATCATCCCGGAATACCTGGAGTTGCACACAGTGGTGAGGAGTTTCAAGCATAGAGGAGAAGCTTATCTCTTGTTTTCAGAGCTCACTCTCAGGGATGGAGCAAGAGTTATAATTACAGCTGGGTGGCCATATTTTCTCAACCAAAAGAGGGAAGGTCATGATCCAATCAAATATTTTTTTCTTAGCAATATGAGAAAAGATTTCCAAAGCATTCAAATGAATAACATTCATGAATGTATTTTTAATTGCCATTATTGGAAATATTACAATCACGAGAAATTAGAAGAAGTGGGGTACATGGTTATCTTTAACTATAGCTTCAGGATTGGTCCGCATTCTATGTTATTTGACTAAAGAAAGATGGAATTTCAAATATGTTGCTAAGTTTGGAGTATTTCCAGAGGCATTAAGATATACAGGCACTATTTCCACAGATGTTATTTTCTATGCAAAAATCAATATTTAATTACTTATTTAGGAGTGAAATTAATCAGAAAAATAAAAGGGGTTCTTTGGCATTTTTTATGTGCACAAATAAGTTTTTTCTGTGAGCTAGTACACTTGATACTATGTCTTATGTAGGAAAAAGAATACAGTATTTCACATTTATACTTTAAAGAACAACTAAACTAAATCCTCTTTCAAAAATTAAAAGTGAGAGATGCCTGGGTGGCTCAGCAGTTGAGCATCTGCCTTCAGCTCAGGACATGATCCTGGGATCCCGGGATCAAGTCCTGCATCAGGCTCCTTGCAGTGAGCCTGCTTCTCCCTCTACCTGTGTCTCTGCCTCTCTCTCTGTCTCTCATAAATAAATTGATAAAATCTTTTTAAAAAATTAAAAGTGAGATATAATTAATAAGCAATACTTTATACTTTCTACCTGTTATTCTTGAGCACTAGAAAGGAGTATACTGAATTTTTGGTGGATAAAGTTGTTTTTTGTTTTTTTATGATTTTATTTATTTATTCATGAGAGACAGAGAGAGAGGTAGAGACATAGGCAGAGGGAGAAGCAGGCTCCCTGTGGGGAGCACGATCCGGGACTCAATCCCAGGACCACTGGACCATGACCTGAGCTGAAGGCAGACGCTCAACCACTGAGCCACCCAGGCGCCCCAGAATTTTTGTATATAAATATGTTTGTACCGATACTCTTACTGCTTTAAATTAATAGATAGGCAATTTCTTATTCTTCAAACAAATTGAATCTGGTTTTTAAACCTTTATTCAAAGGATATAACTTCAGTTATAAAAAAAAATTCTTAGCTTTGGTCTCTAAGTGTATCTTATACTAAAAAAAAAAAATGCATGGCCCTTATTGCTACTACCAAGAAAATTATTTAATTAAGAAAATAATATATAAATCAAATGTGTTATAAAATTCTTACATTTATATTGTTTGTACTGCTAAGATATGTCAAAAAATCTGTAATTATTTCACAGATCTGTAATGTTGACTATTTTAGCAAAATTAACTTAGCAATCAAATCATTAATTTATTATGACAAAATATTCATATCTCTGACATTTGGAAAAAATTAAATAGTACACTTTTATAGAATAAACCATGAGAAACCTAGATAAGCCTTCCGCCTTGGTCCTTCACCAGATATTTACTCAGTATGTAATGTATTAGGGCCCTTGGTAGGCATGGCACCTTGGTCATGAGAGACAGTTTCTGTCTGTAAAGAGCTAATGTGACAGCATGGAGACAAGAGTACCACATCATCTAGGCATGAAATCTGAACAGGAGCAGACACTTGGAAAAGGATTAGATGCCTGGAAGAGATGTGTTCTTAAAATTTAAAGAGTGAATTTGCCGCAAGAAAGAAGAAAAAGCCAAGAGGAAGGTTGTTCCAGACAAAGTGAACAGCCTGTATTTGTGTCAGAGAGGTCACTGTGGCAAGGAACTGCCATGTATCTAGGGATCCACAAATATCTCAATGTGGCCTGGAAAGAGAGTGGCCAGATATAAAGCCCAAGAAGTGAGCCAGGGAGGGTTTCCTACAGCACTTGAGGACTGTACAAACCTGTGAAGTTGTTGGGCTTTCATTCTGGAAGTGGTAGAGAGCCATGGAAAGATTTTTAGCAACAAAATTATATCCTTGAGATGCTATTTTACAAAATTCATTCATATAAGACTATAAAGGCTGTTTTGGAAGGAGTGAGACTGGGGGAAAGACAATGAAGAAATAATGTAGCTTTGCAATAGTGTAGGCAGGAAATACACATACATACATGTATGCATGTATGAATTCTTTCATGAACAAGGGTAACGTTTTCTGCCTTGTATTTTGCTTCTCCTTTTTCTGATGACTAGAATGAATTTTATTGATACAAGGTAGCCATTTTTACTTTCAGTTGAAATATTACATTCTTCTTAGCTTATATCAGGCCAGCTACAGCTTCTGTGAGCACAGTACAAGGGAGCCTAGAGCCTGAGGCCTGATTTGATATGTGCCAGTTCCATTGAACAAAGATGTCTCTGAAACTACTGGTGCCACCTTGATCTCAAAGCCCAGGGGGCCCAAGATGGAACTGCATATGTATCTTTCAAGGGCTTGTGCACAGATGCGGGTGAAGACCATGGTCAAGGGCTTGTGCACAGATGCAGGTGAAGACCATGGTTAAATTGAGCTGAGATTAAGTGCACTTCAACACCAAGTAAAAAAGATTTAACTTGGGTGTTTGCATTTCCTTAAATTATACTTCCAGATGTATGTTCTTCTTCAACAGAGTAGTATGTCAAAAAGGAGTTTCGTTTAAAGAAATATTTAATTGTTCTCTGAAATGTGTCCCTTTGTTGGAGGATTTGCGTACTTCGGTGTGGAAAGATTACATGAGGCACTTCTTTAAATTGTACTTTCTGGTGCCTTACCCCTGGAGGGTCTCAGCCAGTAGGTCTGTGGTTAGGCCTTGGAATCTGCATTGTAACAATCCAGAGGATTCCGCGTGGCCCGGACATTCAGGAAGCAACTTGTGACCATAAAATTGAATTTATGATTCTTTGCTGATATACATTCTTAATTTCTCATATTTTCTGAAGAAAGCTTTCTTTGGAGAAGATAAATAATATCTCTTTAAAAGCATATATATATATATGTTATATATATATATTTGTACATAATTACAAAGTTGGAGATAAGTTAGTCCAGATGATTTTCATTAATATGTCATGGAAAGAATTTATTTTGCATATTGTTTGCTAAGTTGTCTCATAAAACACTAAACATTTATCATATGTAATTTCCTATGATTTGGATCAAAATATTAAATGGAAATAGACATTTAATCTTCACTTCTACATATACTCTTTGGTACTCTTAAATTGTACTTAGTGTGGTTATTTTCCTCAACATTATAGAGATAATGATCGTGCAATTATATTCTTTCTCCATTTTTCAAACTTAAGAATTGTATTTCAAAAACTAAACAATAAATTATGGTCATACTGATGTTGAAAAATTACAATACAATTAAACATTGTCTACATCGCATATGTTTTATATATAATTTCCCTTTGTGATTTATTGGTAAGTTAATATGCCTATATGAAAGTTTAAATTCACATTTCTGTGGGTTTTATTCTTGATCTTATCTTAACAACATCTTTTAAGCTACGTGTAATAAAAGTTAGAGTAGAAGAAAAATAGTTACAGAGTAGAGCTCTTTTGGTTTTGAAAGGAACATTTTCATTAGGAAAAATAGTTCCCAGGCGCTGTGTTCAAATGTTCATGAGCATTTATACAAAGATCAGGTAATTATTCAGCACATTATTGTTTACTAGTTATTGGCTTCCCTTTTAACCAACCACCCGCTAGGATGTATAGGGAAAATATTTATTTAAAATTGGACTATGTTTCTATTTTGAATTTCGGCAGAGCATCTGTGGGTGCCCCTGCCCTTTGATTAATGTGCAAGTTGGTCTGGACTTAAGACACAAAGACTTTCTGATCAAAGATTGTATTCTGATGGGAAATAACTCTGCTTAAAGAAATGTTTTGTGAAATATTGGCTTAACCTATAAAAGAGAAACTTCCTTTGTCTCAGCATTCATGGATCTAGAAAACCAGATCATTAGTACCCCAGAGTGGGGTTAGGTCTGTGTGTTCTCACTGCCAGCGTGGACAATAGAGTGCTGCGGGAAAATGGGGGCAGGTCACAGGGAAGCAGTGAGGAGCTGTCAGGGTGACAGCCTCATGTGGCTCTAGGGGGCGGGACGGAGCAGTGGGCTCCACACCTGATGTCATTCTCCCCTTTTCTGTCCTGTGCAGTCATCTCGACTCGAACTCCACCTCCACCCTCACCGCTGCCATTTCCAACACAAGCTATTCTTCCTCCAGCCCCGTCGAGCTACTTTTCTCATCCAACAATCAGATATCCTCCCCACCTGAATCCTCAGGATACTCTGAAGAACTATGTACCTTCTTATGACCCATCCAGTCCGCAAACCAGCCAGGTAAAAACGAGAGAGAAAATAAGATTAGAGCCTAAGGGAGATGGAACAGGTCTGACTCTAGAACACGAAGTTCATTCAGACAGTATGTCTGGCAAAACCTCAAGCTTTTGAAATCCATCTTCAGGAAGTTTCTTGGTGACTCAATAAGTTTTTATTTAAAGGTAGCTGAATGACAGGTAGGAAATGTATTGCCCCAAAGGGGCGCATTTGTGAGGGTGTCTGTTTTGATGCTTTTGAATTTTTATTGATTGAAAAGAAAGTCTATGCAGAAAGTACATTGACAAAAAAGTTCTGAGCTGGAGTTCACACCTCTGAAATACCTGGTTTAACATAGGAGCAAGGTATGCGCTAAAATAAACACACACAAAAGAACTTACAGTTGTATTTTTAGACCAACTAGTAGGTATTAAAATAAGCTTTGGTAATGTAAACATTTTCAGTGTTTGATGACTACTTGACTATTCTTTGCACAGACATGACTACATTTAATAATGAGTGACATTACCAGAAGTGTCTTTCTTTTTTTCTTTCTCTCTCTCTCTCTCTTTTTAAACATTGTGTAGTGGTTTTAGGGACTTTTATTGTGTAAATATAGTGACTCATGTACCTTTCTCACTCCTTAAACATGTGGCTTCTTCTATGGAGAGGTCACTTCCTAGGGATTCATATAAGAGGAAAATCGTTGTCATATAGATAGTCTTTGTGCCAAAGCTGGCACAAATTATAATATCCAGAATCTGTAATGTAGTTCTGATCTTAAGGTCTGGTATTTGGCATTGCTGCTTCAGCTTCAAGATTCCTGTCCACTCCTTATCATACCATTAAATGCTCTGAGAGATTGTCATAAACATTGTCATTAATGCTGTTCAGTTACTAAAATGCCAGTGAATAGTATGTACATATTAGTTTAGAATTAACAAGGAAAAGATCTGAAAAAATCATATTTGGTGATAATTGTTAAAATGAAGCAAAATAGTCTTTTGAATGTTTCATTTTGAATAACAACATAGCCAGCACCATTTGGGTTACTTAAAAAGTTACCTGTACTTTTAGTTCTATTGACTAATAATACTAAACTAAATACACCATTCTTGAGTTGTGAATTGTAGTTTAACCATTTATATTTTAGAAGAAAATGTCCAAATGGTATAACCTTTTAATGACTATAATAAGAACTACTAAGTAAAACAGTGGGATCTTAATGTATCAGTTTAGAAATAAAATTTGCTGTCAGATCGTGGATTCAGGAGTCTCAGTTCCATAGAGCATTTTGCTAGACTCAGCTGGGAACAGTGCACACAAGGTCTGATTTTAATTTGTGTAGAATTTCCATGAATAACAAAGTCTAATTAAGACATCCATTAAAAGTCCTTAACGTTAATTCAGTGTGGAAAATCTTAGAGTTCCATTGGATTTTTTTTTTTAACTGATGTCTTAATTAGGCACTGTTAGGGGAAAAATTATGCAAATTAAAATCAGGCCCTTAGTGTTACGCATTTCTTTAATTATTCAGTGCTTGTTTTAGGTATATTTCCATTTCTTTATAAGTTAAGAGGGCATATTAGGTGATAATCTGCCTATATTGTTCTGTTTTTCTCCCTATTTTTAAGGTAAAGATCCAGCTTCTAAGAAAAGCATCTTACTTTCATCTCAATTAAAAAAAAAAAAAATCCCCTCTCAGGATTTTGTATAATAGGAACGATGTACTATATAGGGTAATCTTTTCCTAATGCCATTCAACTTCATCTTCAGATAAAATGTCTTTCTTTTCATATCTATGGTATGAAAGTTCATCTAACAGCCTTAAAAGAGAAGCTTTTATAGTAGAGCTTCATCCGTTTGAATCAGTAGAAGATCCAAAAGGAATAACTCTCCCCATTCTTCTGACCCTGAATTCCAGATAAGTTGCCTGTATTGGCTTGGGACCTCTTTGTCAGTTTTAGTCTTTTTAAATGAGAGAAATGTCTGTTGGCTCATGTTGATTCCATTCCAATGTCTATTGGAGACTTCCAGAGCTTGCAGAATGGATGAGGTAATAGATTCTGTGGCAGCATTTTCTTGACATTATTGCCATTCTTCTTCTATCCCATGTTCTCAGGTAGGTCCTATTGAACCATTTTGGTGAACACAGTATACCGAATGTACCATCAATGATATAATGAGATCTTTCTTGAGGAAGATATGTAAAACAGTCTTTTGCAATGTTCAGATAACCAGAAGCTGATGGTCTGCTTTAGAAAAAACTACTTTTTCCCCTTGAAAGAAAATGCGTCCTTCTAGTAAACCGCAGAATTGTTTTTATGGGCACATCATATATGCTTTGATTTTTAACTCCAACTCAAAACCAATTAATTTGCATTTCAGAAGAGGACTCTTGATACTTACCTTTTAGCTTTAAAAATGGGGGGAAGAAATAAGCACTTGTTCACCTGTAGTCCACTATTTCTTCCCAGATATCCTCCAGCCCTGAATCGATTTTGATTGTTAAGTCTAGCAACTGAGATGCCTCATCCTCCCCACAGCAATTCAGAGATTAATTGCATTGCTGGTGCACCAATTAGAGTGAGACAGTCATGCTATTCAGTGGATTATTTTAAATAAAATTAGTTTAAAGATATAACTCTCTCATAGGTTTCCGTAGGGGGAAACTCTGGTCAATTTTCCTGACATAAAGTTAAATACTTCAAATTACTCATGATGAATAGTCAGGATATTCAAGAAGTCCATTTTCTTTATAGAATAAATAATATGGCCTCTGAGGAACCCAACCAAAGTTTAGTTCATGTCTGTAAGTTACAGTATTTAAGTGTTATTAGCTGTTCATATTTTTGTCTAAAGAAATATCTCCTGGTAATTTATGTGCAGGTATTTAGATAAATATGCTGTTTCATTACATTCTTTGCCTTTAACAGTGCTGATTATAAAGGCTAAATATTTGTGGGGAATACTCTTGTGGCAAATTGTTATGTACACCAAACAGTGGAGAATTTCAACATGAGTGTAATCAAGAATAGCACTCTCTGTCTAGAAAAATACATTCCAGTTTTTTTTTTTTTTCAAACTGTGTACCCTTAGGATTTTGTCTCCTACCACAGATACTATTTTCATACCCGGGTCTAAAACTCAGATATTAATATCTTTTCTATCATTGCCCAGGGGATTTTCTCAGTTGATTCCCACAAATGTCAACAATAATGTTTTGTGTAACTCTCCATGCCCAGCAGTGGAGGAGTAACTTAAGGAACAAAGTATATTTGATTGCCCTCTGCTTTACTTCAGCACATTTTAATTGACTTTGGAAATCTTTTATTTGTAGCTGTAAGGTCAGACCTAGCCCATCATTGTATATCATTGTGTGGGTCCGAAATTTTAAATGCTTTAAATATCATTCTATCTGCTCCTATTAGTAAAGCATCAAAAGTTAAGTGGAAATCCTAGAATCTAAACTGCTTGATGTGTGTGTCCAGGTGTCCCTGTGTGTCACAGAGAGCTAGAGTTTCTGAGCGCAGAGGATGAGCCTTGACCGTAAATGATGGAAACTATTGAGTTTAATGGGTTTGATCTCCTGGATATCCTTGTCATCTTTGTGTGTCAGTGATAGCATCATTAGGTGAAATTTGTGTTCTGAAAGCCAGAACTGACTCATTGCAGAAAACAAAGAGCAGAGGAGAAGGAGGCATGGTTCACATTCTCACTAGCTCAGGAAGGATTTACATTGTTGTCTTGGGCTCACCATGTAAGTCTCCACTTGAGTCTTCTGTGCTTCCGAACCAAAGGACCAGTTCTGCCCAGCTCTCAGGGCTGTTGTAAAGATGAATTCACCTATATAAAGTGTTTTGAGGGTGAAGACTTTCTATTAAATGCTACTGCTTCTTTTTACTACTAACCATTGATTGGTCTCCATGACTCAGACTTGTGTGGGCCTGTGGCAGTCCCAGCAAGTACACAGGGTTCACACAGCCAGGTGGGCTGAACGGAGCTATTGGGCTAGACGACTGCCTTTTGGATTGTTTCACCCGGCATTCTGTTTTTGTTTTGTAGCCTAACAGCAGTGGTCAAGTGGTAGGGAAAGTGCCTGGCCATTTCACACCTGTCTTGGCACCCTCTCCCCATCCCAGTGCAGTGCGACCTGTGACCCTGACCATGACAGATACTAAACCCATCACTACATCCACTGAAGGTGAGGCAGCTTCACCTACAGCAACCAGTAAGTATTTCTGTAGGAAATGAGAAATGGCCATCAAAGGCACCATTGGATATCTGATCCAAGGTGGAACACAAGGCAACTTTTCAGACCAGATGGAGATTTCTCATTTATGTGGAACTAGCAGGCATGTATGTGGCCTGGCTGTGACAAGCTCTCTCTTATCAAATTTCAGTCTCAACATCATATTTGAAAAGGGAGAAGCTTATTTGTTTGAATAAACAGCTCTAATAAGAATAAGTCATGCCTGCTTGTTCAAGGTATACATCGAAAATACACCGAATAACATGACGCAGTATACGAGGTTTCTGTGTCACACAGACAGACCATCGATCATTGTTACTTATTGGAGCATTCCTGTAGGAGTCCATTCCCTTCACAAGGCAGACAAAATCAGTGCCTCTGTAAGATAATTGCACACTTACAGTGCTTTAGGGTATGTCATTGCAAAAAAACAGTTACAGGATGTTAGATGTGGATGAGAATATGCCAAAGCTGAGTATTAGGCACATGTAAGCTTCCTGCACTTTCATTGTCTGCGACTTCTTTTTCTTTTCTTTTTTTTGCTTATCATGGTACATCAGGTACTACGCTTTTTAACATGGTCATAACATTTTAAAATGTCAGATTTAGCCAGTGAACTTACATAGTGAACTTACATACAATAAATCAATGATTGCTTTGCTTCATCACACAGAATACTCATAAATACACAAAAAATTATTACATGGTTTTTCAATTGGCTTCATCCAAACTACTGGCTTCCTAGAACTGGAGCTGGTAAAGTGGAGTGGATAAAATTCTAGTCAGGAGGAATTAGCATGCTCCTCACCAATTATGCATTATATATCTGAAATTCAAAGATTCCATTTTCTTTCCTAGAGCAAAAAAAATTGACATGCTCTGGAAATTTCTAAGTGAAATTACAGAGACACCACTGACTTGCTCTTTCTCAGGCTTTGGAGAGATGCTTTCCTTTTTTTTTTTTTTTTTTTTGTGGCTTCTGAAAACCTGAGAAGGAACACTGCAAGCAGAATGTATGATACCATGAGTGTACAGTGAATTCAACATTTCTTTTCTTTCTCAAAATTCTTGAGGCCCCATAGCCTAATCAGTCCCTGTAGGCTTATAATTCCCATCTCTAATCATTAATGTTTGTAACTGATCTGTTGGTAGAGTGTCTAGTGAACACTTCCCTGAATGCACAGATAGATGAAATCCAGTCAAGGAAGACTAAAAACTCTTTTGTTTTAAAGGTTTGCTATGTACACTATAGCCACTAAATTTTAAAAGTGGATGTGTTAGCATCTTTGAGCAAAGTCCACAATTTAAATAAAGGCAAATAGAAAGCAAAGATTTTTTATTTAAAGTATTTGAAAGACTATCCCAGCATAAATGGTCTAAACCAAGTTCTACAAACTTCAGGTACCTACTCTTCTAGTGGCATTAATAGATGACCTTCAGGGGAAGATCAGACCCAAACAATCACAGCTCACTATGGGAGTGCTGTCAGCCTGCTTGCTAATGAATTGTTCTAATACTCACCTATAGGCTGGTCAGAAAAAGCATCTGATTTGATTAGTAAAGTTATAAAATATTCAGAAGAAATATCTTGGTTGTATAAAGACAGCTGTATCAGTCCATTTTCCACTCCTGCATAAAAGAAATACAGTGAGTTGTTTTTCCTATAAACAAACTTGTAGCTCCAGCTCCCAAGACAACACTGATAATGAGAAATTGGTCATTGAACTGATAAGTCAATAAAATTAAAGAAAACACACATAGACCAAGGTAGTCTCTTTCTCATGGCTGGAAAGAGAAAATACCACAAACTTGTTGCTCTATAAGGTTGAGGCTCTTCTCCAGCTGTCTGTGCTGTGCATTGCTTTCCAGAGGCCTAGAGAATGGGGGCCACTGGCTGCTTATGGCTGCCCTTAGAGGGGCCCTTTATTCAAGAGTAAGTAATGCTGAATATTGAGCATCTTCACTGTTTTAAAAAGTTTCCTCAATGGATCTAATTCTGCAATCCTTTGAATAAACAGGGCAGAATTAATATATTCTGTTTGAAAAAAAAGGCTTTTAAAAATTAATGTCTGGATTTCTCAGTAATCTGATAGTGTTAAACTAAATGTTTTAGCTTCCTTCAGACCTATAGATATAATATGAATGGTGAAAACGTAGTTCTTCTGTTTATTCCAACACAGAGCAATGGGATTGCTTTAGTGCTGGGAACTTCTTTCCTTGTGAAAACAAACAAATCATAAGGAATAGGTTTTCTTTGGAAAATTCACTGTGTACCAAAAAAGCACCTTTACAAAAAGTGCTTTTAAGGTGAGACTAAATAACTTAAGGAATATTCACCATATGTACTTACCACCTGGTGGCAGAGTATTTAAAAGGTGCCATCCCTCCTTCTCTGGACCAATGAGAAGAAACTGACTTTTTGTGCTTATGGAAAAGAAATAATTTTTTTCAGAAATACCTCTATCAAACTTAAGATCATTTTCACACTGAATAAAATACTGACCTACTTCACTCAATATGATATAATAAATATAGGCTTCTCCTTCATGTTAGTAATACTGGACTTTCTCCTTAGTAAGACATGTTTCATTCTATATCATCAAGCACATCTGCTTAAATCCCACTCATTACAAGCTTTCACTTTTTCCCAATAGACTTTCAATCTGCTTTTACATTTAGAATCACAGACCATCACTGATTATTCCATTATTAGACAGCTAGTATCTGGTGAAACAGTTCAAGTAGGAAAAGGACCCTTCTGTTTAGCCAGTTCTCGGTACTCCTGCAAGAGTATAACTGGAGCAAGTAAGTGTGAGATGCCCACACCAAAGGATGGGATGTGGTTTATTGGACAAATTTTTGGGGAGGGGGATAAACTAGGTGATTTGAGGTCAACTGCCATTTCTTTTATATCACTTGGTGTTCACTCAGACAAAAGACTAGAAAAATAAAGACACTTTTTTTTTTTTTATTGCAAGTCCCACTTCTCTGGGTTTCTTTTACATGGACAGGGTGTTCATTCTGATAGTTCACAATTTTTATCTTTGTTTTTGTTCTTCCTTAATCAGCCTACACAGCCTCAGGCACATCTCAAGCCAATCGATATGTGGGACTAAGCCCAAGAGACCCATCCTTCCTACATCAGCAACAGGTGGGCAAGTTTCACCCAGGTGTGACGGTGTAGCACGCTTTCGCATTGGTGCTCTCTCCATGCTGCCTCTCAGATCTGGACTCAGAATGGGACTCCCGGGGCTTCTGGGAAAGAAACTGATCATTACATTTTCCAGAATATTTTCTCATTTATCTTTTGTTTCTTGCCTCTCTAAACAGGGTTTCTCAAATTGGCTCAAGACCTTTTCCATCTCTGTGGCCTGTATCGATAACATCCATAAGTAACAAAGTCTTGGCCAGGATATTTTTCTCTATCTTATTGGCTATTGAGAACTTACTAGCCTTTAGCTTCCCAAGACAAAAACTGAAAACTGATCTAAAAGCCCATCAGAGGAGAAGCAGTACACAATTTGTGTTTTTGAGCTCTTTCATATTTTCCAGATGTTTTACTCCTCATTTTGGACTTTCAGTCCAAGAGGATGAGTTATGAAGCTAAAATCTTGGGTGACACATCATTCCTGTTTTAATAGGTTTAAATTGGTTTACTGATTTCAGATGTGATAAAACACTTTTTTTTTGTTCTGCTTTCTTACATCATTTATGTTTCAAGTAGCATTTTAAATTTCACATCTCATTAATGCTGTAAATTTAATGCAAATGAAGTGTTTACCCAAACTGTGAAAATATACAGCCAGGATTAATGGTGGCTTATAAACAAATTAGCCACAGTCAAAGGCATGGAACATACCAATACAGAAACCCCACGATTCTAGTTACAGGATGACAGAAATAATTCCAAACGCTTCCAAATTTAAATATATTTTATGGTGCATATGTTTGCTGCTCTCAAGTTCTGATAGCAGAGCAGTTTGAAATTAACTGTGCAAGATATTAAATAGGGGAAAATAGGCCATCATGAATAAGAAGGAGCTGTGTAAACTTGCTCTTCATTCATAAACTATATATGCCTATGTCTGTGTTTTTACATAGCAGGTACTCCTGCCTGCTGCTTTTGTTCTGGACCTGCCCACCTGGCTGGTGCCTGTTGTATCTCTCTTAGCTGTGCTTCGTGCCAAATTCCCAAGTCCTGCCCAGTTGTAGACCAAGGTAGCAGACTGCATGTATCAAAGGTCACCCCATGCAGAGTTCAGAGAAAATCATAAAGATAATAGCTTATTCAAGATACTTGACGTTGCGCCAGATTTTTAAAAAGCAATACAAAAGAGTGAGAACTAACTGAAAACATCTGTACACAGTTACGAAAATACCAAATAATAATTAGTGGCTTTGCCAGCCATTGGCTTATCAACATAATTCTCTGGAATGCTACTTTTTCACCTCTAAAATTGCTATAATATGAAATGTGTTATAATTACTATAATATGGTTCTATTTGACAAATGTATATGTTCACTGTGTTTTTTAAAAACATATGTAAGATTTCTAGTTTTAGAGACTTGTTCTTTTAAAAATCATTCCACATATTTTCAGAAATATTTTTATCATGGGGTTTGCATTACTCTTTATGACACATCTCTACTTTCCAGTTAATTTTTAATTCAGAGAAACACACCTCCATTATTTAAACCTTTGCCCCAAACACATTTAGATTATGCCCAGTTCCATGTATTTAGAAGTAGTCTTCCCATCCCCCTGTGCTAACCTATGGCAACCTTAATTTTTTGTTTTGTTTTGTTTATTCCTTATGACTAACATTAGAGGCTCAGGAAATTATCAGTAAAGTTCATCATGTAGAAGTTACTTCTTTCACATGTCCAAGGGTAAATCAAGAAAACTTAGCAAGCATTAGAAAAGTGTGAGTCTTAATATAGATGTAGTTCTGAGCACATTTTAATTGAAACAAATATATATATATATATATATATATATATATATATATATATATATGAGTTCTGGAAGTACAAACTTTCCTTATCAAAGACCACCACTTCTTATTTAAGTGGGCAATGTCAAATGAAGACCTCTTACAATATAAATAGGATTTGTTTGGTCGAATGTGGTTGATATTTATGGACTATACAATGTGTATTGAGCCTTGGAAGAAAAAAGCTGTAGAAGCTTTACAGCTAAAAATGTAATGTTCAATTGGTATTTACCAAGCAGACAGATAATTTGCCCTATATATAACAGAAGACTTAGTGCTACTTTTTGAAATGAAGAAGCTCAATGTGCCACATTTATACTGAGCCATATTTTTGAGGCATGCAGAAGATGCATGCATCTCATACTATACATGAATATTATTGAAGGTTCCAGTTAAAAGATCATTACTTTTATGCCTTTAAATTTTAAAAGAACCACTGAGCTAAAGTTTTAGGCTTAACTATCCAGGAACAGAGGGACAGAAATAGTTTAAGTGACTTCAGTGGAGTAAAGGTTATGCTTTCCCACAGCAGAAATGAGATTGATTTACTGTGTCCTTTCATTACTTTACAAAGATTTAAAAGAGACCACTCTTGTAACAGCAGGTTCTAAATGCATTTGGTTTAAAGCACTCAGTGATGAATGAAAAGAAAAATCAAGGGGTACATGAAATAAAGGTAATCAATCATTTTATATTAGCTAGGAGAAATTCAAAATTAGAAAGGCAATGGATTTAGTCTGAGAGAGTTCTTTTAAACATTCCCCATAGCCTTTAATATACATGACCCCTTAAGAATAAATATTGTCACCAGGTACATTCTTCAGTTTATTGGCGGCTGCTTTATAAAGATTTATCCTTTTAGGTTATGAAAAGTATTGATGTGCACTGTGCAGTGCTATTTTTTCTCAGAAAAGAACTTTAATATACCCTACATAAATTAGGGTTAACGATAAATTTAAAATTGTTGAATAATTCTGACTATGTTATAAATAATCTTTCCAGAAGATGACAATAAAGCAGACCCTTCAATATAGTCATTTCTAATACACGAGGACACTGTCCTTCTTCATTTGAGATGGCAAAAATTAAAATTAACCCTATACTCCACTTGTAAGAGTAATGCATCCATATTGGCAAATTTGAATACTAAAAGTGCATGCTGTTATGTTAACTTGGTACACATACAGCTGTTACTAGTAAGTATACATTTCTGTGGTCCTTATAATAGTTATTACTGATTATTATTGGTCACTGACTTGAAATTCTGACATAAGAATTTCACCTGGTCACTGAAAATATGATACCTCCTTTGAATCTAAAAAAGAAAAAAACCCATAATCATGAAGAATAATTCAAAAAGATTCACCTAAACCAGTTAGGGATAACTTGCCATTAAAAACAGTCCTAATTGGTCCTAATAATCAGCTCATGCTGGCTGATCAGGACTTGAAATTTTTCCTTTGGCCCCTAACACAGTCTTATGTGTTGTGTAGTTCAAGGTCTGGAACTAGACTGTCTGTGCAGGATGACTGGCTTAGTTAACGTGTTCACTATTGGCTTGGGGAGTTCTTAAAAGCAGACATCAGCTGGAGCTCCATTCTTCTTTAACTTTTCTATTGGAAGGTGGTGTGGTGGCTTGAGGAACTCCTGGTCCTGCTTTGGCAAGCTAAACTCTGTAGTCTCTCCTGATCAGTGTCTTTCTGTGATTCAGAACTTTTTCAGAAGTGTCAAGGACCTCCTCTCTGACTTAACCTCACAGAAGTTTAGCAAAATGCAGTGTTTTCATTTCCTCGTACTGTGTGCGCAAACTGCACATTCACTGTGACAGGCAAGGAGGAACCCACATATCCCAAGTTTTGTCTCTAAGAAAATGGGAGCTCTATTGCAGAGTGTTGGATGTTACTCAGAAAATAACAAATTATTTTAGAATCCAGTCTACCGATTTTAGTGTAAATGGTGAATAGGAGACAACTTACTTGAATTAGGACCAGTTCCTTATCTGGTCAACCTCACAATGAATTTGTTAAATTTCTTTGGCCTTCTTTCTTTGCTCTCATAGACAGTTGCGTGATCAAAGAGGCTCCAGTTAACTTGATTTTCACCCTTATACTTGAGCATAAGGTTATCATAAAAAATAAATCTTTACTATTATGCATCAGTACAACATATAAAAAGATCCAATTGCAAGTTGGAAATAAAAATTTGTAGCTAAGAAGCATCTTGTTTGGAAATAAAAGATTACTATCTGACCCAGCTATTAAAAGGCATATTAACTTTTGATATGGATTTGAGATTTTGATAAAATAAATGGGAGCTCACTTTTGCCTTTCCAAAGGGAGATGACAAAGTCAAGTAAGCTCTGGTTTTTAAGACGTAAGACTTATTTTCATAATCTCTCAAAATCATAATCTCCTGACGATATATAGTACTTATTATTAGAGCTAATGAATGAATCTCCTGATCAACTCCGGTCCTTGCATTATGTACACAATTGCATGGATTTTATTGGTGCTTGAGCTTCGGCATGTTACATCTCTTGCATGACTACTTAATGCTTTTATTTCAATTTCAACTACTGGGCTACCTCACATCAAAATATTTTCAGTACTTCTCTTGATAAACAATTGTGAAACTAGAATTTGGAGGTATACTTTTCATTAACGCTGGACATTCTGTTACACCAAATGGCCTTCCTAAGAATTTGCCTCTGTAAGAATTTTTTTTTAATTAAGATATTAATTGAAATTTCTTTACAAAGTTTGTCCTCGCAAATGGCAAAGCCAAAGCTAGGTACTGTGAGGCCACCGAAAGGTAGCCTTTTATTAGAGGCAAGCGGTTGAGAGGACACAAGTGGACTATCAACAAACTTTTCAATAAAGTCAGGAAGCAGGCTATCAACACTTGGGCTGTTCTTATTGTGTCTGTTATCATAATTGACAGCTTGACGTAAAACCCTATCACATGACTTCTGGGTAGGTATGTAAATGGATAAGAGGTCACTCTTCACATATGCTAGCTGGAAAGGAAACACATTTAAAGGAAGTTTCAGTCAAAATAACGGCTATGCAAATGTCTAGCTTTTTGGCTAGTTCTTCAGTTTAGTTCTTCAGTTTTAAACAAACCTCCCCTGGTCTGTTTTATCATTCATTTATTTACTGACTTACATAGAGTAGTTATCAAATGCTAATAACCAGATAAACCATTCTAATTAATGTAAAAATAAAATTATGTTTACTATAACCTCAAATTTCAATCAACAAAATCACAAGGGAAAAATTTTCTTCTCTGAATATATTTACTTTAAAAGATCTAAGTTGAATCAGGGAAGTAGAGGAAATTCTGAAGGTTATAATTACAGCCATCTTAGCCTAAAATATTCTTGGGCTGCACATGAAGGACAGGATAGAAAAAGGGGAGCAATATGCAAACTATCTCAGGGGAGAACCAGGGATTAGGAATTTGGAAATTTGGTTTTAGTGTTGACACAAACAGAGCATGTCTGACCTTGGTCAAGTCCCTAAACTTTGCTGTCCTGTATCCTTATCTTGGAAAGGAAAATGTAGAGGTTGTACTACACAATCTCTGTGTTCCCGTGAAACCTTAAATTTTACGAGTTAAAGTAGTCTCCATCTATAAAAACCTTTCATTTCCTAATACTTATCATCATGATCAGTTATGTTTACTTCACTTGTGGGCTATGCATCTCCATTTAACGTAATTCTACTGTACTTAATTTAAATATCAAGAAGCATGGGTTTCAGAAATTGACAATAGAAGTGATTTTAAGGTACCAGATCTTGAATATCCTTTTTTTATGTGTTATATGTCTTACATCTAACAGTTTCATTATGAACATTTTACTTGTTCAGTAAGGCCTTATGCATTCAGAGGCCATTTTATTTGCTCCATCGTGAGTAATTAATCACAGCAATAAAATAAAATTCTACTGATCTAAGAGTTAGAGGAGAGTTTGGATATAGGAGTGTTAATCTTTTTAAGCACCCCTGCAAAAGGACCTCTACCCCTCAAAAATCTGTTTCCTTGAGGCTATCTGGAGAAATGAAAAAAAACCTAAGAGATTGTAACATACCTTTAAAGCTATTCCCTTGAGGGTCACTGTAAACTTGAAAAAAAAAAAAAGTGAGAAGGTAAATTTGCCTGTGTTGATTATTCTGTTTACAGTTTAATAGTTTATTGGTTCAACTGAGAGCTGTTGTCATCATGAGGGACTGTTAGTACATCGGCCTGTTTGCTGAGTCTAGCAAAATAGAACATTTTGCTTACCTTTTTTCCTTTGTTCCCAAAGCTAAGTGCTAAACATTTAACAAAAGCTCCTATTAGTAACAATGGAGGGCCCTCATTTGAATAAACAAAACCTTAATTTGGAAATCACAAGCAATATTGATTCTTTATGGCTGTCAGCTGTCTACAGGACTATGTGAGTGTAGTGTAGGAAAGGATAATGACCCAAATCTTAGGTATTTTCCTTTATGTAGATTTTTTTTTTTTTTTTTTACCTTATGTAGATTTTTGAGAGAAACTGTTTGGACCCATCCTCGTAGGCAAGGAACAACCTTCTCATTCCAGAGACTTTATAGAACATATGCAGTGAAAACTTTACCTTCACTTCTTTCTTAGTTGTTTGGACTATTTCAACTTTAACCCTTTACTCATAGCTTTTTGGGAGGAGAATCTTACACCCTTACTTCACTTTCTGCTTGCTTTTGGAATTCTGGGCATAATTGTTTTAATATAACTTTTACCTTAATTTTCTAGACAGTCTAATTTCATATTGGTAGATGCATATAAATTAATTAAAATTATTCACGTTGAGTGTGCATTTCTATAAGGATATGCATATGCTCAGGTCTCTCAAAAACTATTGTTACAAAAATAAGAATTGCTGTCCATCTCCATACAAAGACACAACTTTAAAGGATTAAATTTCTAAAACGAATCAGTACCTGGTATTTTAAGTCTGTTTACTGTTGGAGTAAGCAAGTAATTTCCTAATTACTGAGGGAAAATGCTTGGAAACACCATTACAGAATGACTAAGCTTAGGTACCACTTAAAATTAAGGTCTCAAAATTTAATTAAAAAAGAATTGATAGCTAATAACACTGACTCACAGGACAGAAACCGAAGCATCGTCATACTAACCTCAAATAACATTATGACCTATTTTTTCTTTTAAAGATTTTATTTATTTATTCATGAGAGATATAGAGAGGCAGAAACCAGGCAGAGACCAGGCAGAGGGAGGAGAAACAGGCTTCATGCAGGGAGCCCTGTGTGGGACTGGATCCTGGGACTCCAGGACTCTGGGATCACTCTCAACCCCTAAGCCACCCAGGTGTCCCTCTCATATTATTTTAAATTTATTTAGATCATAATGTAAAAAGTTTTTGTCATTGAAAATACTGACATGCTAATACTAAGAACATTTAACATGCTCCCAAAAGAATCTTTACCTGGTATTAACCTTTTATCACCTAGCATCTTTTCAAAATTTGCTGAGTCAGAACTATCTCTGTCAAACAAAGAGTCTTCGTAAGGGATCTTTTTAGGTATAATGTCATGGAAATCTTCAGTAAAGAAATGATTTCTATTTTAATTATTTGTTTCCCTTACCACACCATCACTTTATCAGAAAGTTTATTAATTCAAAGACGCCTTATGGAAAAGGTTAATTAATACATTAAGAAAAAAAAACCAAAACCTGAAGAGGAAGGCTTTTGCTTAAGTGATTTGGCTTAAGTCATTTATAACATATAAGCATGTAGGAACATGTCTCCTCAGAAATTTTTGGAAATGTTGATAAATGCCACACCATAATCTAAATAGCTAAGTAAATATAATTTATATTTTTTGTTTTCAGTAACAGAGAAGAAATTAATTCAACACTAATTAAATTATTTCTAACTATTACATTCAGTGATCATTTTGTATGTATTTCATCATATTTTCTGTTTGGAAGAAAACATGCCTATTTATCTTAAGTATGGATGAAAGTGAACCTATATAGTCAGGTTTAATCCCCTTGGTACTACTCTTAGGAAAGAAAAGCCCCAAAATATATTGATTTTAAATGTTACATATGTGGCCAACATTTTAACCCATCTGACATCTTTGACATCTTTTAGGATATGATAAACAAATAAACAAAACATGAGCAATGCGAACAACAAAAAAACTAAGCAGTTTACAAATGCTTCCTTCCAAGGAGAAACATAGTGTTCTGTAATTGTTTGTGAGACAAGTCAGTTAGTGAGTAATATTTGGATTCACCTGGCTTTGTGAAAGCATCTTTTTCCAAGACTTCTCCAATTTAAGCTGAGAACCCCACAGAAACTAACCTGAAGTTAGCAGAATTATCATGAACTGTGCCTGAATAGACACCTCCATTCTTGAGAATTTTTAATTAACTGAAAAGTAGGATTTTTATTGATTAGAGCAGAATCGATAAGTGGTCCCTAAGGTCATCTTTACACAAGGTCAAACTTTTTAAAACTGTTTTTAGATTATTTTCATAGTGCAGCTTTAAATAAATGTTTTTTAAAATAGACAATTGGTACTTTTGCTATAAAAAAAACAAGTTCAGATTGTCCCATCACATTGCACTACTAATTAGATGATCCATGTGGAGAACTTGAAAAAAAATCTTGCCATAAAGTTTGTTATCTGTTCAGTTTTAAAACTAAGCAAGTATACATTTTCTCCATCATACAAATATGATGGTCCATTTTAAGAATATTTTTTCATTCCAATTTAGTCTTTTTACTGGCTTATGGTTTCTTTATGAATACATTCTGAGAAGGATCTACATATCTATCAATCTATCTGGCCATCTATCCATCTACCTTAAGGGAATTTTTTCAGTTCTTTAGAAAATTACTTTCAACCAGAATACCAACATAATGAAAACACATGTCTTAGAAATTTTAGATGGTATTTTTAGAGACTTGTAGATCTGTAGAAAGGTCTGCAAAGCGATTATTCTAAAACTCTAGAATCACTATTACTTAGAATGTGTTGAAACTCATTGGTCTAACAGGAAAAGTAAAGGTTCTTAATAGCCATTTTTTTTTTTTTTAGCCATAACATTATCAGAAAGGATTACAATAACTTATCATCAGTTTAGAGAAAGGCACTTTGGCTGCAATCATCATCTTGTAGAAATCCCCACTGAGAAGCCGCAAACAAGGTCCAGTGGATTGCTGGAAATCATCTTTTCAGTGCAAGATGCAGTTAATTTACAGCAAGACTATCTAACGATTAAAAACCATGACCTTCTAGTGGGGGTTCCCCCCCCCCAGAGTCAGATAAGTTTACTTTCTTAAGCATAAAAATAAGCAATATATCTTTTCAATAAATCTGCTAGCACTGTAGGGCAGCTGTGAGCCAAACAGAACTGGATAGGGTTACTCGAACCCTCTTCCGAAGGGCAGAGCTGATGATTCCGATATCTGGGAAGAATTTGTTTCAGCTTGTACTCAGTGCATTCTTCGCTCTATTCAGATGTGGTAAAGTATTTTAAATGCCTTTACTCTGAGTTTAAAATAAAAGTAGAAAATTCTTATCAACTCTTTCTAAATAGTGCCTTTTCGGCTAAAACAAAATTAGGAAACACCCTAAATGGAGTGCCTTGATGCTTCTAAACATAAGCTAGGGAGAACGTATAGGTGGGGCCTTTACTCCTCTAAACTGCATGTCTCCTGTGTTTTGCAAACTGCATGCTAAAAGTTATTGATTATTTTACTCAGTGCAGATGATTTGGTATGTTGCATAAAAAAAGCTTTTTTGATTTTCTTCCTAAAATATATCTCTCTATTGAATATTAACGTTTGCTTTTATTTCAGCTCAATTTGTACTCTAATAATGGCTAATTGTGATGTTCTAAGTACTCGTTTCTCTTGTATGCTTTAATTAATAGAGAAGCATATTGCAGTAAAAAAAAAAGAGTCTAGGAAGTTTTGCTTTTGCAAAATAAGGTTTTCTTTTGCTTTTTTTTTTTCTTTAAGTTGCCTCTTGGGAAAGTAAGGTTAATGCCATGTACAATACTAGTTTGCATGTGTTCATTTAAATACTAAAAACTGTAGTACTGCTCGATCCATATCTGACTGCTAGGTTTCAATTGACAGCTGAGGATTTGTGACTGGACCATGAATCAAAACGGCAGGCATTTATACCCCAGTACCAGTGAGGATACATTGGGAATTACTTGGCAAAGGTAACATTTTAATTATTTCCAACCCTACACTTACACCTAAAAATTACATGAGCTATATAGTGTTTGTTTTTAACTAGCTTTACAGAAAATATATGTTAAAAATTCAGTTGTTTTAGCTATACCATCCCTCTTTCCCTCCCTTCCTCCTTTCTTTCTTATGTAAATGCAACTTCAAATTAATTTGGGACTATAGCATATGCTAATTGATCATTGAAATTTCTGAGTGCTGTCAAATGTTTTCAACAGTTTATAATTCGGGGGAGGGGGCGGGGAAAAGATTTGACACTTAGATCTTAGGAACTGAAAAATGAAATCATAGTTCTAGGGGAGACTTTTCAGCTATTTGAGGTTTAATAAAGCATTGGTTTTTTGCATTATAGATCACTCTCATTTCAGCATTTTCTTCTATGGCTAACTTTGAATCATTTTACTATTCATTTATTCCCCTGTCAGAGGGGAAAAGCTAGAAGAAAAATTTGAAATTAGTCAATTTAACTGTTATTAGTGGCACTCATTAATTGTGGAGTCAGAAGATTGTTGAAATCAATAGCTAAAGAAGGAAATTGGTTTAAATAAAGTTTTAACCTCTGTTCATTTATATGAATCATTAAATAACTGAATTTATTTGGTTGGCTGAGAAAATTATTCTAAATCTTCATTTTCAAATTAGTTTTGATATTGTCTCATGTATTGCTTTTGGAAAGTTAGTGCTAAGTCAGCTTTTGTATCATTTTAATAAAGAACAAATTGTGTCCAATTGACAAATTAAATAATTAAAATCCATGGTATAATCATATGTAATAAGAGGTAAAAATTTATAGAAAAGAGTGAGGTAATCCCATAAGGAGTTCACCAAAAGTAGAGCCAACATAATTTTCCAACCCTGCTCCAACTGTAATGCCTGTGTTAAAAGCACATACTCTGATAATCGGTTATAAATGTGCTGCCCATCACCAGTTTACTTGATAGAAACTGTTGAAGAGTAGAGTTTAAAAGAACTAAATTAACAAAATGTCCACTTTTACTCAGGTGAAAACCAAGAAAATTAGTTGGATTCCGTTTTATCAACTTCACGAATTTTTATTAATACACTTCCTAAAATGAATATGATATGACTTTTCCTCTTTTTGAAGATTGGCATAACATGTACTTTAAAATGTATACCTTTTTACATATTTTCATTTTTTTCTCAAGAAGTTTATATAATTCCTCCATTTGGAAATATGTAATATATGCTTATAAAAAGAAAATAAGCACAATGAAAGCACCTTATTTAAATACTCTTACTAAAAATTTGAATTAAATTCAATAAAATAATTAAGTATTTTAAAATTTAATTAGATTTGGTAACACCGTGTTTGGATTTAATTTTATTAAACAGCTTTTTTATATTCCATGTTTTCTCTATCAGTTAGCAAAATGGACTGTGTCTACATACATACCTTACTGTATTTTTAAGAATTGCGAATCAGATGAAGTATACTCATATTTTTTAAACGTGGCCTATGGCTGTGTGATCTTCTGTATCTGGATTACTGATTGACATTTATTTATCTAAGTAGGATAGCACCTCTATAAAGAACATAAAGCCAAATAAAGATATAAATTATTGGTGATTTGAAATATAACTACACCCAGTTGCTAGTGATTTTTTTAATCAAAAATTGATATCCCAGAAAGGGAAAAGGTGAGTGGACAGTGAATCACCACAGAATATATGGAACAGCGTGAATTAATATGATGACTAAACCCAGTTCTTAGGAGAGCATTGTTCCTGTTACAAAACCCCTCCTTGTTGAAAAATTGGTGTGGTAATCAACTTCAGATTAGAAGAAATCAGAAAGAAATTCAGAACTCTCGATTATAACACTTTTTGATTAATAGGTAATGATATATAGAGTGGCTTTAATACTTCAAAAAGCTTTTAAAAGTGTAGCTTTTGAAAAAAAAAAAAGGTAGCTTTTGGTCTATTCCCTTTTTGTCATGATTCAGAAGGCTACCTGATAATGGCGGCTGTCACATTCATGCATTCAACAGGTATTTATTGAAAATGTGGGGTAGGCTGTCCCAAATGCTGGATGACTGCTAACAGGTGCTCAGGGTTCTGAAAAATCAAAGCATCCTACAATTTACAATAAATATGCTCAAATAAGATAGCACTTTTGTTTTCTTTTTAATAGGCATAAGTAGAGTCCATATCTGATAATACAGGTAGTCATGTCTGTGGCACAACATACATATTCATGACTTACTCATGGTTTATAGTTTGTGCTCTGTGGTTATTTATGAAACTTAATGTCTTCTTTTTCCTAGAAAGGATATTGAAAAAGGAAACCATAAACTTCTGTTGTACTAGTACTTTTAAGGCACACAACAGACATCCAGAGTCATCGGGGCACTGCTACAGCTTTAAAATTATCTGATTAAGTTGAAAGTATCTGAGAAATGTAGAGCCGTTCAACCAGAGAATTAAATAATCTGCCTTTGTCATAATGGAATAAAGAAACTATCAGGCTATTTTTGTGGTGGTTGTTGCTTTTTGTTTTTAACAAAAGGCAGTCCCTGGGGACTTGTAGTAAAAAAGGGCAAAGCAGAGAAGGTGTTTTGGTTTTGCTCTGTGTTTTGGCTTTGCTTTTGCTTTGTTTTATTTTGTTTTGATTGTTTGTTGCCATTCCTTTGTTAGTACAATCACTTGTCCACGGTGGCCTCCTTTTCTGCTTTATACCACCCCTCCTGCAGATGTGTTTCTGTGTCACATGCAGCACCTTTTACAGGCCTGCAAATGGCAATGCTGAGGAGAGCTGGGCAAGTGCAATCAAAGCTGGAAGATTTCCTCCTTCTTCCTCCCTCTCTGCCCCACGCCCACCTCCACGTAGAAACATTCCCTTAGGAACCAAGGCGGACTCCGTTGGAAAGTTTCCACAGACTTACTAGGTTGCAACCCTGAAGGTGTTTTGTTGTTTTGACCTTAGAATTTTGTGAGGAGTATGTGTGTGTGTGTGTGTGTGTGTGTGTGTGTGTGTGTGTGTTTTGTTTGCACCTTGAAAATGCGAGTTTTTCTGTCTAACCCAAAGGTTACTGCAGTTAACCCAGAGTGAAATCCATTGGCGAAGGGCTCATTTCTTGAGTCAGGAAGGGCTTAGCTCTGAGGACCCTAATAGGTGATGAGTTGCCGATGCTGTTCATAAGGGTACTGTTGTGTTTGTGCTTTGTCCTCTGATGTGGACAAATTACACTGTGGCATATGTGAATTATGTAGGTATAAACAAACATAGCAGTTAACTCCCTAACTGGCTTGCTTTCTTGAAACTATAGCCTGAACATGACTTGTACTATCAAGTATGAAAGAGCAATATAATTGAATGAAAAAGAAAGCCAAGGGACAATCCAAGAATAATATAAACATAAGTTATTTTAAAACATTGGAGGGAGTGCTTGATGCAAAAGAGAAACTGGATTTATTGTTTCATTCCCTCTTCTCTGCCTTCACCCCTTTCAAGAGAAGCAAAGCCACAAGTGAGTGGCTGTATGTGTCTGATGGCTTATATAAACATAGAAGAAGCCTTCAGATGGCTAAAATAAACATGCGCGTGTTACTGAAGGATGTGTTTACACAAACCATTTGCTCAGCCTCTAAAATAATGAATAAATGAAGATTTCACTGAAATAATTGGAAGGATTTTTGTGTCTCTGCTGATGCCATAATCGAGTGGCACCAGAGACTTTTATCAGGTACTTTGCAAAAATGTTACGTGTGTTAGCAGTTCCTTTCTCTGAGTTGAATACTTCATTCTGTAGTTACTTTACACGTGTTTTTGTAAGAAATTGTCGTTTATTACTGCAATTCTAGAGAGTTGCTTGATTTCCCAGGAGAAATTTAGCAGCCAGTAAAGATTATTTGGATCTGGTTGGTAGGAGGGGGAGGGCAAAAAGAATGGAATAGGAGCATTCATTTCATACATCGAACTCAATTTGCATAACACTGTCCTCAACCATTTACCATCTTCATTGCTTTGTCCATAAAGTGTTCTTTGTAAGATACATATCCTCAATGATACAAGAATGAAGATTTAAAAATAATCTTCAGTATCAGGTTCCAAACTATATGTTTGTATGTAAGTATATGTGTGTGCATATATGATGTATGTGTTCATGCATGCAGATGTGTATGTGTTGTGTGCATGTGTGTGTGTGTGTATACGCACACATACCTAGACATGGGGCACATATATGATAAGGACAGTGTGTTTCCGGTCTGGTGGTAGTATTAAGAGTTAACTCTTATTTCAACATTATACTTAAGACCATCCCTACAAATTCACTAGGTTAGCATTTCCTGCTTTCAGTTTGTTATCTTGACACATAACTACAGCACAACAGCTGGGTTGTTCCTGGAGTTCCTGGGGGGAGCTTTATTCTCAGAGTGCTGAATTTCCTTTTCAGCTGTCAGCTCTAAAGTGTGTTCAAAATGTTCAACTTTTTACACACCATTCTGGGCCCCTAGCACCACTCTGGGACTATGATAGAAATGCTGATAAGGTAGACGAATAGAAGAATCTGGTTTGAAGAGAAGAATTGCAGAAGCCAAAAATGCACATGTCCATTGTTTGGTAATGGGGTTACTGACTAGTGTTGTTCTTTGTATTTGACTATACCTTCTAAGAGTTCCTCCATTCTCATCAAATATTATTTGCACCTGTTATGAAATAAAAAAAAGGTACCATTCTTGAAAACAGCCTTGATATGGTGTTCGTGCACACACAATGTCAGTGGTCTGGCTGTTGAAAAATACTTTGGGATTCGCTGTAGTTTTGCCTAACTTTCCCCATTTATAAAGAAAGATTTGCACAACACAACATTTCCTTTTTATCTAGGAAACTCTTCAGAACACTTCCTAAGAAATTAATTGTATTCCAGCCAGACTTGCATGCTGCCATCCCACAGGAAATGGGTCAGCAATCCATTAAGATGCCATTAGATAATCTAATTTGGAACTTAAT